TTGGTACAATAAATTGGTTTGCTTCTATTTTTTCTGACTGGTTCCTTGGCTTGTTCTGGCGGTGCTTTTATCTATTGTTTACCTCCATATGCGCTGCACTCATTGTTCCAGCCAAGAAACTCCATTTGGATCCAAAAGCAGGTGCGTATTTTTAATGAAAAGAAAAACCACGTTTATCCAGTATTTTAAAATCCAGTGTTACTAACGAGTCAGATTGCAATTTGAAATCTCGATTTCTTTCTTCTCTTTAATAATTCAATCAGAATTGTGTACTGCTTAAATTAAACTGAGTTGCTTGCCAAATAAGCGTAAGCACCTGAATTGGAAAGAGAAAACATGGTAGCTCAATTGGAAAACTCTCTGGGAGATTTTATGGATGTTTTGATTGTAAATATGGAATGTAAAATTGAAAAAATAAGAGATGAAACAAAGAGTACCACTTGAGCGGAGAATGGTGCTTTTTAGCCAGTTGCGGTTTATTGCCTTCTGATTTATGGAATGATCGGTTGTAAAACCGAATTTGAGGACCAATTTTGGGAGATTAGCGGAAATGTTGCTCAATTTTGTAGGATTAAAAATAACCATATGTGCTCAAAATGGCTCCAAACCTTTGTCTGGACTAAATTTAATCCTGTTTAAAATCCACTAAACGAATCAAGTTTAATTAATGCAAAAACAACTCCTTAAAGTGTTTGTTTCAAACATCTGTTGCTCAATAAGTGTAAACTGTTAGTTGTAGTACCCATATTTTTTGTTACTTTTTTGTTGTTACGAATATCATTTTGAAGGAATCCTTTTGTTATTGCATCTTTTGATCAAATGTTAGCAAATAAAATAACAAGTTGTTTTTATAAGTGGAAAATTGACAGTTAAATGTTAATAGAAACAGAACAAAGAGAAGGATTTGCTACAGGGGCGGATTTAAAAGGGACTCGCCCCCCCCCCCCCCCCCCTCAGGGACTCGACCCCCTACCGACCCAAATGGTCCTCCTTCGAACTATTTTGAGATATCCAATTTTGGCTGATGGACTCTAAAATTTTTCCAAAGGCGCGTTTGGCGCCAATATATACTTATTTTAAGAGGAGAGCGCGCGCCAAAAAAAACGCAATTTTTCGTTGAAATTTTTCAAAAAAGTGCCCACAAACGCCTTTTTGGTCTGTTTCTTCAAAATTTTGAAAATTCGCCCTCCCCCCTCGAGAAAATCCTAGAGATGCCCCTGATTTTCCGGCTTGCGCTCTGCAACATTAGTAACTGTTAGCATGAAAGGCGCGTTGGGCATTTTTTAAATTAGTTGTTCAAAAAATAAGTTGAAAAATTAGACTAAAGACGACGTTTCGGCTGGATGTGTGGACATTGAACTCTTGGATGAGGCCCTGCCTTCTTCATCACTCCCAGACGTCACTAGGCCTATTTTTTAGAGTTTTTTATTACTGCAGAATGGATAAAGATATGGTAGTTGGGTCCCTGTTATGTAGATAGCCCAGAAAAAATTTTCGGTTATTCAAATAGAAAGCAGCATATAGATTTATTTAATTCCGTTTATAATACAAAACTGTTAACATTATTCTCACGAAACTGTTAACATTATTCTTACACTAGCAGGCTTGCGAGAGTTAGAGTATTAGTATGAACCTTCTTTTTTCTATTCTAACTCAAATAAAAGTGTTCATTATTTAGTGGCGAAGTGTTCATTATTTGGTGGCACTTTTGCTATTATCACAATCTGTAGCATTGAAAATTTCATCTGCTCTCTGCTTCTGTTCTCTGCTTCTTTTGAGGCTAGTGTTTGTGTTTAATTAAGCGTCCGTGGCTGATTTGTTAGTGCGTGAGACTCAGATTATCTCGGTCGCAGGTCGAGTTAACGAATTGCGGAGATTAATTGTGGATTCGGCATCTGGTGCGGAATCGAGTGACACCTAATTTCACGTTCAAACACATTGTTGGCGGTTTGTTGTGCAGTCCAATGACTCGTATATTTTGATGCGGGTTTCGCAAATTGACTTCAGATTTATTGTGGATTGACAAAAGGTTTCGTCGGGATTCTTTATTACCCCAGCGATTTTTTTTCAACAGCGGGGGTTAATCTCGGTGTATTGGAATGACATCTTCGAGATAATATATTTCAAACATTTTGAAATGTCAGTCACAATGGTCTCCATGATGGTGAATTTCAAGTTTCTAGTTCTTTTGAAACTCGGAAGTTTGATTTCGTGAATATAAATGGTGAAGATTTAAGGTGAACAAACAGACGGTTTTATGGCCACTGAGTTGTTGAAACTGAAGAGCGCTGTATTGTGGTATCAGTTCTTTTCTCACAAATTGGCGCCAATTAGTGCTTAAGAGTTTCAAAGGTGACTCGTCACCAAATTAGATTAACCATGAGAGGCGCTGGCGTCAAAATTGGTTTTGCTTAGGCCAAACATTTTATAGTCATTAGTTAGAAGTAAAGTAACGATGTGCCATGTAAATTTTGAAGCGCTTTCTTCAGAATGACATCATCCGCATCAATCTGAAGTAATTTGATTGATAATAATGTAAGCCATAGTAAAACTCAAGGAACAGAAAATAAAATGAAAAAAAAAAGACTAGAATAAAAGATATTTCTCGTCAGAAAACTCTGAGGCAAAGAAATAAGGCCGCTACAGGCTTAAGGTCAGCTCTTGCGCGCGGTACTTCTCCCTGTTGTTCAAGGCAGGGCTCTTCATCGCAGTATGGAGGGCTTCCAACGTCAACAGCTTTGACCTGTCGGGCGAGAGGTCATTAATCTTGGCGTTAATGTCATCGGCAGTCAGACCGCACTCCCGAAAATGGCTGCCCACGCGAGTCTTCGCCTCCCTGTGCTCCATGAGTCGAGTTGTGATGACGGCATGTTTGACCGACATAGCTGGCATTACATTCAAAACTATCTATTTTATGCACAGCCTGACTTCTCAGATCTTTAGGGACGGCAAACAGGTCTTGAGTTTGCGGGTAGTGAAAACTACCGAATCATTAGTGGAGCTTCTAACTTTTCGGAGTAACTGATTGGAAATGGTTCCTCTACGCAGACGGTGCAAAGTACCCTCAATGATATTTTGTTTATATCTGGTTGGCGCGCAGGTACGAAACGACATCATGAGGCCAGTGTCCGTTGGCTTTGAATACCAGATGGTACTCCAGGAAATTTATACTTATTGTTCCGACCATTGAAAATGGGGAGGAACTTTGTATTCGGGTGTTTTAGTTTTTTCTCTTTGTTTGTCACGTGAAATCAGGCGCCTCAAAAATCATCGGGTTTGGTCGAGCGATGTATCATGTTTCAGCGCTTTCAATCGTGATTTGGACGACATAAAAAATTTCCCAATTGTTTTCTCAGCTCCGAAATAACCCCATTTCACGCGAATAAATTGAGTTCACGCGAATTCAACCAAAAGAATTTACCACAAATAATCATAGTAATCATAGGAATGGATGAAGTGATATATCACAATGAAGCCTTTTCAGCCCTGATTGGAGAGACATTCAAAAAATTGTCCCAGTGTCGAGAAAAATCGGTTTGAAGTTTTCGAGTTCTAATCAAACTTTGAGCGAGTGATACAAAACTTGGGAATTCAAGCAAACTTTTAAAGACTCTTTTAAAAAAATCTGCACAAAAAATCGAAAAAAAAACAAGATATTTTTTTTGAATTTTTTGTATGATTTTTGTTTTTCATGTCGTTTTTCGACAAAAACAGGTGCCAAGTTGGTTGCTCATTTTACTGTGACTGTCAGTTTTTCCTTAATTTTAGGTTTTCGTCAGATCATTGTAACACTTCAGGCATAATAAACGACACTAATTTGAAAACTTTTTAGTTTTTTAAGAATATGGTCGGAACATTGTGCTACATTCACAGCAATCGGCTATCCTTGTTTTGAATTGATTTCGTTTAATTTATTTTTGGCAAATGAACGGTGAGCACAGTTGTTGCAATCTGGTGTCAATGCTTTTCCTTGTTAGACGCGTTTGTTTTCACAGTTTTGGAAATATGAGTAATGGTAACTCCTCCAGGACAGTAACTCCTGCGTAACGATAACTCCTCCTTAATGCTGCAAATTGTCGTTAATCTCATGTTTTGCTCAAATTGAACCTCATTCGAGAAACGCAATAAATTTTGGTCGATTGTTTTCTAACTTTCATGACTTTCTGTAGGCTCGCTTACCATGCTAGCTCCTCTTCGTCTCTTGGAGAAAAATTTTGTTCTGTCGCACATAATTTCAACCAACACATCCATTTTAGCATAAGCCAGGTTGCTTGGGTAGTTTCGAAAAATCAGACCACTTTTTCCAACACAATTCAAACATTTTAGTGCAAAGGTTTGTGTACAAAAAGTATCCGTTAATTAAACACAGTATGCAGCTATATCCGCATTATCAAAAGGCATTATTTGATATCTGATGTCTAAGAACGAATTGGTGGGAAACAACTCGAGGTTGAAATCGGTGGCTCTGGGAGGGTGACCCGAGCTCCCAGAGCTCGAATCCTTTAGTCTCTGAGTTTAAAGGTTTTCTTTTGAGGCAGGGGCGGATTTAGGGGGGGGGGGCGGAGCCCCCCCCCCCCTCAGGGATTCGACCCCCTGCCGACCCAAAAGGTCCCCCCTTTGATACGTTTCAGAAATCCATTTTTGGCCGACCGACCCTAAGATTTTTCTAAAGGCGCCTTTGGCGCCAATAAATACTAACTATGAGGGGGAGCGCGCGCCAAAAAAACGCGAATTTTTCAAAAAGCGCCCAAAAACGGCGCACAAATTTAGCCAAAATAGGGGCAAAACAGTGCTTTGGGAGAGCTCGAAAAATCAATTTGGTCGACCTAAAAAAAGGTCGTCAAAATTTTGAAAAACTTTTTGAAAATCTGCCCCCCTCGAGAAAATCCTAGATTCGCCCCTGTTTTGAGGGCTATTTTTGTAAGTTCTTGCATCACGACCCTATAAAGTGAGTTGTTGATATTGCTGGCATACGTTTTTTGAAATCGATTTTCAGATAAGTCATTGTTTTTGTTCATGACAATGGATCAAAGTGTATTGGACAAACATATCTGCACAACGCAGGCACCGGAGACTAAATCATACTACATGCAGCAGACAATGCTGCGAATCAAAGACCCAAGAAAGAGTCTAGACTTCTACACCAGGATCCTTGGCATGCGACTTCTGTACAAGGCTGACTTTCCCCAGGCCGAGTTCACCCTTTTCTTCATGGGATACCTGGATGAATCAGTGAAGATTCCAGAGGATCAGGAGGAGGCGAAGAAGTTTTGTTTGTCCCAAGTCGGCACGATTGAGTTGACATATAACTATGGGACTGAGAAAGATGACGATTTTAAATATCACAATGGGAACTCGGATCCGAGGGGGTTCGGACACATCGGAGTTGCAGTTGATGATTTGCACAAGGTATTATACTATAAATATATCGGAAAAGCCACTATATAGCCTATTGCTTGGAACTATATGAATCTATGAACTGAGGAAGTTGTACGCTCAAAGATATAGAATTATTTAGAATCGATTAAGGATTGCGTCGTTTTAAATCATTAAGAATTTTGATCGCATATGTTTTTATTGATTGGAAAATTAAATCAATTTCAATGATTACAAATAATTAAAAATAATACAGTTGCTAAACTTCAGGCGTGTGAGAGATTTGAGAAGCTTGGAGTTGAGTTCCAGAAGAGACCTCAGGATGGAAAGATGAGACATATTGCATTCATTAAGGACCCAGATGAATACTGGATCGAGATATTTGCTTCAAACAAGTTCTAAAATTATTTTTCTCCTTCAAACAGGTGCTTCAAAATATTTATTAGCATAGGTCATATGCAATCAGAAATTATTTATTTTCATAATTCATGTGCACTCTGAAATTATTTATTTGCATAATTCATGTGCACTCCGAAATTATTTATTTACATAATTCGGCGAATGACAAGGAGACGGATATGATGCAGACAGTGAACTTAATAGGCAGTTATGAGGCACCCAATAAGAAAAATTATTTTAGCCGAATTTTGAATCACCAATTATTACAGCAATTAGTCTTTTTTACTTTCGATTTGAGGGCAAGCAGATTGTGAAACAAGTATTTTTTTTTACCGCCTAATCCGCTCAATTACCCGCCAAAATGTCTTCATTTGTTTTGTTTTACTCGTTATTAAGTTCGCTGTCTAGATCAGACCCATCTCCTTGCCATTCACTCATAATTCAAAGTCTTCATTGAATTTTCTATTTGCCAGTTTTCCCCCACGTCGGTTTTGACACGATTTCTATATAATACACTCATCTAACTGTTAAAGTTGCAAATGAATGTGTTAAATTAGGAAAGAAAAGCCACTGTCAGATGTATAGTTTTTCCTCAGATGTATGTATTCCAAACTAACTTGACTTAACTTATGGCGATCGACCAAATCGCAGCTAGTTAGAATAAGGGGTCTTTCTGAATGTTGTTAAGACTTTTCTATTCTTTTTCAACAGACAAAGTTTCTTTCACTCGTAAATAAGTTTATTATTTCAAATATAGGAGACACACATCAAATATAGAACATGGGTTATTGGATATAGATTGATTGTGATAGTGATAGTGATAATGATAGTGATCATTTGGTATATTTTCGCTTAGCTTATATACCGTACATTGTCATATTTTCAACATTCCATCTGTTGGTTAAACCAATCAGAAAGAGACAACATATGTCGTAATGTTTGCTTTTGGTGATATTTTATCAACTGAGCAAACGCATAAATTCAAGCTAGCATATGGTAGAAACAAGAATTGTGTTTCTGATTTCAATTCAGAACATCCAACCATCTTATAGGGTGATTGTTAAACGGCGATGCCAGATGATAAAAAAAAATTTTACAGCATAATATATAATATAAGAAACATCAAAAAGTTTTAATAGCGTTGTGTAAAGTTTTTCGTTTTTCTGATTTTGACAGTTTGCTCGTAAAATGGCGGCTTGAAGTGTATCGGTCGATGAATGGCTGCCTGTAGTGTAGTCGGTCGATGAATGGCTGCTTGTAGTGTAGTCGCTTCGTAGGATGGCGTCTTATAGAAAAGGTGCATGTAGAGCAGAGCAGTGATTTGTAGAGTTGTGGGTGGCGGCCAAATCACAGCTGGATAATTTTAAGAAATATAACATCAAATACATTTTTTCAAATTTGGTTTGGCAAATATACTTATTGGCATTACTGGACTATAATTGTAGAAGCATACTTTGTAGGGTGGTGGCGGCCAAATCACAGTTGGATATAAATGAATACAAAGTTAAAAAAATAAAGGGACGGAGGTTAACAGATAATCATGAAACTAATAGTTTAAATCCACCTGGGTTTTTAGGCTCAAGTATTAATTGCTGAGATCCTTATTTTTTTTGTCGGAGAGCTTTTATGGTGTTCTGCATTTGCTTGATACGATTTAAGTCGTTTATATAAATCTTTTGCTCTTGATCCGTGTAGGAGTCAAGGATTGGAGTTTGCATTTGGGCGGTTATAAAGGCTGCTGGAACACAAATGTGTTGATGGGTGTGTTGTGGGTTAACCAGACGGTAGGCACCATTACCGTTTTGGTAAGGGTGATAGGTTTCTATCTTTAATCGGTTAATAAAGGGAGAGAGCGCATAATTTAAACTGGTATCAAAATTTGGCATTTTTCGGGGGTTGAGGTTTTTTTCCTTTTTGACTAGGATCGCAGTTTTTGTTTCAAGTTCTAGAGAATTTGCTGATTGGTGAACTATTATAATTTCAAAATCTAGGTGTTGCCGAGTTGAAGAAGAAGGGAGAATTTTAAAAGGTCGGATAATAGTTTTTTTTGAATGCCATTAGAGTGTTTCACTTTTGGGATTGTAAAATTGGTATTCAATTTTGGCTGATTAATCGGGTTGATTACTTTGGGTGGCATTTTTATAGGGTCATATAAAGACAGAAGGTTTTCTAAATCAAGCAAGACTTCTTCAAGTGGGGGCTGAAGAAGATCAGCGGGTATATCCTAAAGCATAAAATAAATTATCCTAAATACAGCGTTTTTCCTTAAATTTTCCGTAAATTTTACCTGATTTTCATTTTCAGAATCTTCTTGTTGAGGTGCCTGAGGCCTATGATTATGCTCAATATTTTGATCGTCTCATTTTGAGCGAATATTGAAGTCACTATAGACGTAAAAAGTACATTGTAAGAGGCGGCTAACATAATTTTTCCGAAATGAAGAGTTCGGCCGGTTATTTTGTGTATGTGTAAAACTTTTATTACAAATACAAGAGCGTCGAGTGTAAACTTGACGAATAGGAAAGAGGCAAATATTATTCCGCATCTTTCTAAATAGTACTTTATTGTACCAAAGATACGAGTGTACTCGTTCTTCCAAAAATCAGGCGAGATAAGATAGTCTTGTTTTGCTTAGATCCGTATGTTTTGCTTAGATCCGTATTGTCTACTCGAGTCCGGATGGAATTGTTCTCTCGCATTAAGAAAAGTTTGGGATACTTTTTGTAAAATACCCTTCATTTCAAAGTGATCAGTAATCATGCTCCAAAATTTTTGCTATTGTGCATAAGTGTAAATAGTAGCCTTATGGCTAGGTGCAAGAGAGTGTTTAACTTGCCGTTTAATTTCTTTCGGCTTAAAAAGATCTGGACCTTTTACTCTAGTATAGTAATAGAGGGTGTCAGTTCGATCCAAGAATTATCGTTATTAACATCTAGTTGATTAAGATTTAAATGCTTATCGGAGCAGTCTTGTTGATCTGCCGATTTAAAAGTTTGTCGAGTGATCGGGTCGACGAAATGAAATTTTTTGCGATACATAATTGGTATCCGATTATAACATGCATCCATTAATTGTAATGGAGAATAGAATTTTGGGCAGTGGTAAAGCCAGGGAACATTGCCATTGGTCTCTAAAAACATAGACCTATTCCGGGTCAAAATATAGCCGGCTAAACGCGGGCTTTCGATAGAGCATTAAAGTGTTGAGAATCATGGAGCGTTCTAACTCACATTGGTTCGTTAAAAGTGCCAATTCGGCAGTTCGAAGCATGTAAAAGCTTCGGAAAAGAATATAATCTAGTTTTTTTCCTAGATGAGTTTCGTAGTCTATTTGTCCCGGTGCAAAGGGATAATTTTCATTTTTAGTGTATTTCACATAAGTCAAATTTGGTCATTCCTGTATTAGCACTCGGGTTTATTTGTAAACCGTTATCCATATTAAAACCGTTTCGGTGTGCTATGAACAATGGTTTGTATTGGGTCGGGTGTATTGTTTTTGGGTGTCCACAAAAAGAGAGTGGTTTATTTAGGTTTTTTAGCATAAATTGTTGAGTGCCTCTATCTCGCGTATGGTGGTTGGATATTTTAGTAAAAGAATCTTTTACAATATAATAATTCTCTTCGTTTCGAATCATTTTGGCTTCGAGTTTTTTGAGAACCGAAAAAAAACGCAGGTGTGGGGCTCGTCCCAAGTATATGCAAAAGGGTCGAGTGATGTTGTGTCACATCCATTTTCATAGACAGGACAAGGCAATGGAATATTTTGCCAGTTATTAACAGTGCAATCTTTTAGATTGACAGTTCAGGAAATATTTTGCATGTACGATTCGAAAGTATCCAAATGGATCCAAGAACAATCGCGGCATTCGTTGTTATATTCGCCATCAACTTTGCCTATATTTGTATTTGTGACAATTTTTTCGTCACAGCGAAAAGGATTATTTATCGAATATCCTAAGTTAACATATCCCCGTTCGGCGGCGTGCTTACAAGTATGAGGGGAAATGTGTATATCAGTTGTGATGATATTTTGGCGAGCGTCTATTCCGCTTGAATCGAAAGAATCACAAAACCATCGGATAGATTGGTGTTTTATACGACATATTATCGCATTAATTTTTGTACTATAATGCCGTTGGTAAAGAGTAACCTCGGTTGTTGTAGTTTCGATATTTTCAGGTTGTATATTGCAGGGAGCTACTTTATTCAGCGAGAACATCTTATTCGATATCATTAGTTGACAATCAAAATGCGCAATTTTTAGATCTTTTGCTGTATTAGCGTAGAGATTGTCCTCTGGATTAAAAGCGCACATTTGTTGGGGGAAATATTAAAAGAGTGTATATAGCTAACCAAAAATTTTTTAGTTTTGGACGGCGGTGGAAAATAGAAATTTTACTTACTTTCAGCAAAGCATCGATTATTTGGTCCGTTGAATGATCAAAGTCCATAATTTCACCTTCTTCGAGATCGGTGATTTTAGGCATTATTTTTTGAAAATGGTTGATTTTTTGCAATTGCTGAGAAGTATTGATTGGCAGAGGAAGGTTTTGCAGGTTGAGAGGTTTTTGAAAGAATGATTCTGGGCTTATTTTTTTGCTGGTTTGTATATATCAGATTCCGATAAAATTTATTTGGTTAAGACATGTTATAGCAAAGCCGGCTGTTCAGTTATAATTGATATACTATACTCTGGCGTATTTGTTTTTACGGCCGTTGGGAGGGGTTTTATTTGCAACTTAAGACGGTAGTGATAAGCATGTTTGCTGTTTTTATAATAATGTGTTTGAGTTTGCAAATAACCATATGTTCTCACCATTTGGTCAGAGATTAGTATTTTAGTAGAAGCTTTCTTCTTGAAATTATTAACTTCTAATTGATTGAAATTATGGCTATAAAAAATGATAAAGATAACTGGCTCAAGTATCCAAAAAAATTAGAGCTTCTGAAAAATGTTTTGGGATGTAAGTGATGAGAAAAAGGAGGAGAGAAAAAAATTTATGAATTTATGTATAATTCAGATCTCTTTATTTCACGGGTCGAGTATTTATTATTCACGAACGACAATTATTTAATCGACGTTCCGCTTTTGCGGGACGCCGAATGGGGGTCAGCCCAAACAATAAAGTTTAATTTGGATAGGAAGGCTGATATCATGTTTAATTGTTGAGAGGAAATTGACCAACTGTCTAGCGATTCGATAGAGTTGATCGGTT